CTCTCTCTCTCTCTGTCTCTCTCGCCTCTTCAGTAAACCTCACTACCACAATAGGTGGCTGGAGGCTGGAGCTAGGAGGAGCCCTCCTGGTTTAAAGGTAATTTGAGTCTTGTCTCTTTAAGACTCTAACCTTCCTTCATGAAGCTAGCGTGGGGGTCACAGGCTAAACTTCAGGAATGAAGAGAAAATCAATTAATGCTCCAATGAAAGGTAGAGAATTTTGTCACCAGTAGACTTGCACTATATGAAACAGTGAAGATTTCTTCATTTGAAAGCAAACAACACCAGTGGAAAATGTAGACTCCTAGAAAATATATGAATATCAGAAATGGCAAATATCTGGCTCAATGCAAAAGACTAACTTTGCACTCTCTCTGTCTCTCCCTTTGACCTTTTGCACTTACTTAATGAATACAAATATGGCTTTATATTGTGCATTGCGTTTATCTATTTAATATAATAGATATACTAAATATGATACTTATAACATAAGAGTGGGTATAATTAGAAGTCTGAACAATTGTGCAAGGTTTCTTTTTTAAAATTAATTTATTCTAATTAGGTACATAGGACAGCAGAATGCATTTTGATTATCTTACACAAATGGAGCAGAGAACTTTTGATTTCTCTGGTTGTACACAATGTAGCATCACACCATATGTGCAGTCATGTACCTAGGGTAATGATGTCCATCTCATTCCACCATCTTTCCTGCCCCCATGCACCGATTCCCCTTTGCCTAGTGAAACTTTCTGCATTCTTCCCATGTTTTCCTGCTCCATCAGCATCCACTTATTAGAGAGAACATTTGGCCTTTGGTTTTTTGGGATTGTCTTACTTTGCTTAGCATATTCTTTGACTCCATCCATTTACCTGCAAATGCCTTGATGTTATTCTCTTTTAATGCTGAGTAATATTTCATTGTTTGTATATACCACATTATCTTTATCCATTCATCTATCAAAGGGCATCTAGGTTGGTTATATAACTTAGCTATTTGAAATTGAGCTGCTCTGAATATTGATGTGGCTGCATCACTATAGTATGCTGATTTTACGTCCTTTGGGTATAGACTGAGGATTAGTATAGCTGGGTCAAATGGTGATTCCATTCCAAGTGTTCTAAGCAATCTCTACAATGCTTTCCATATTGGCTGCACCAATTTGCAGTGCCACCAGCAATGTGTGAGTATACTTTTCCCCCACATCCTTGCTAACACATAATATTATTTGCATTCTTGATAATTGCCATTCTGGCTGGAGTGAGATAAAATCTTAGGGTGGTTTTGATTTGCATTTCTCTAATTACTAGAGACATTGAATATTTTTTCATGTATTTGTTGGTCAATTGCATATCTTCTGAGATGTGTCTATTCAGTTCCTTAGTCCATTTATTGACTGGTTTTTTTTTTTGGTGTTAATATTTTTGAGTTCTTTGTATATCTTGGAGATTAGTGCTCTATCTGATATGTGTATGGTAAAGATGTTCTCCCACTTTGTGGGCTCTCTCTTCACAGTATTGATTGTTTTCTTTGCTGAGAAGAAGAAGATTTTTAGCTTGAATCTATCCTATTTATTAATACTTGATTTTATTTCTTGCACTTTAGGAGCCTGGTTAAGGAAGTCAGGACCTAACCTGACATCATGAAGATTTGGTCTACTCTTTCTTCTATTAGGTGCAGGGTCTCTATGCAAAGTAAGAAACTGTTAACTGGAGGCAGTGTGAAAAATTAATATGACTACTTCAATCCTAAGGAAAACTCCTATAAAATAGTGCAAAAAATGAAGCCAGCAATAAAATTAAAATGAGATTCTAAAACCACTGAAGTAATTTAAGAGATCACTTTTGAAGGACAGTTTCAGTGGATAAGAAGTCATTTGGCATTTTTTAAAAATCATTTATGTACATACATCACTCCAATTTCTTCTGGACTCCTTCATTTGTTTCAAAATGAAAGAAAAACACCTTTGATTGTATAGCTGTTCCTATATATCAGTTTGTTACTTACTGATTTGTAATAATCACTCCAAAATAGAGCAGCTTAAATTTACTAGGGTTTATCATCCTGCCACTTTCCTATGAGTGAATAAAGACCAGAACTGGAAGGTTGGTTGGCAGGGAAATATTTCATTCACAGCTTATTCCTGTAGCTCTTGGCCACATCCCTCAGTTTCTGGCCATGGGGGACTCCCTTTAGATGATTGTGTAGTAGAAGATGACTTAGCCAAGGGTGAATGATCCAAGAGAGAGCAGAGCAAGCAGGAAACCCCAGTGTGTTTTTGTCTGTGGCCACACACCATGGATTGTGCTTTGTCTCTTCACTAGAGGTGAATTTCAAGTCCAGCCATGTTCATAGGGAGGGATACTTTCTGAGTATCAAGGAACTTGTGATCAGTTGAAAACCACCATAATCATTCTTCTGACCACAAATTATTCATATTCCTTCACGTGCACATTAAACTGCTTTCCATTCAAGACTTCCTAAAGTCTCATTTCATCACCTACCCAATGCCAACTCCAGAGCTTCATCATCTAAATCAGGTCCAGGTACAGATGAGTCTCCTTGAATAAACTGAGGTCAGCATACTCTCCACATACAGTTCACAAAATCTCACTCTGTGGACTAAGAGAGGAGCTATCTGCACCCTGACAAAGCTTGTATACAATGATGAGGCACAGATGTTGGTCCCAGGAAGTCCTGGCTCCTTTTGATATGGGGAGAAGGCTTCAGGGACTCAGAAATAGGGAAAACCTATAAAATTCCTTTGGGACACGGTAACTCCTAAGGAGGTAAAGCCTGTGAAATTTCTGTGTTTCTTCCTAATGTCTTTCTTCCACTTTAAAAAGCTTTGCTTGTTCCAGGATTCTCTGACATGGAACTTTTGAAACAATTATGTTTCATCCATCTTCCTTCAGGCTTTGAATGAAACCTATTTTCCTACTGTTTTGGTTTAGATATGAGGTATCCCCCAAAAGGTTCTCTGTGAGGCAATGTAACCACATTCATAGGTGAAATGATGTTATTATGAGAGTTGTAACCTAATAAGTGGATTGATCCACTGAGATGGATTAACTGGGTGGTAATTGTAGGCAAGTAGGGTGTGGGTGGAGGAGGTAGGTCCCTGGGTGTGCTTGCATTCATGGTGTATATTTTGTCCTGCTTCCTGATGGCCATGTCCTGAGATGCTTTTGTCCTCTACATCCTTCTGCCCCAATGTTTTGTCTCCCCTCAGGCTCAGAGCAAGGGAGTTGGCAGTCCAGGCTCTGAGACCACTGAGACCCAAAAACACAAGAAAAATTTTCCTCTTTTATGTTGTTTTTATTAGTTGTTTTGGTCATAGTGACTGAAAGCTCACTAAAACACCTTCCAATTTTGAGTTAAATGAAGTTTAGAGGACACCTGCTCACTAAATTTAGAATACATTTCTTCTGCAGAGAGAACAAAGCTGAAGGCAAATCCCTGACCCTGCAGTCTCCACAGAAGATGGGAGCAGAGATGCCCACTCAGGCCTGCTCACTGCAGGATCACTAAGTCTGCCTGGGTACATTTCCTGCCCATGTCACTTCCCTCCCTCTTCTTTAAAATTAGGTGAATTTTCAAGATTTTGGAAATGTTATGAAACAATTAAGTTTCTTTCATCTTTCTTCAAAGCTGGCTTTAAATAAAACCCATCTTCCTACCAATCTAATTTCAAAATATTCTGGAGGAGAGAGCATTATAGCCTGGCTTCCTTCACAGCTGCCCAATAACAACTTGAGTCCTAACCTCTTCTTCCCAGAGTGGAATATTTTGCTTCTTAGTAAAAATTTGTCCTATTTTTGTGGGTGTTAGTGAAAGAGAGAGAAGGAGAAGAAAATGAGAAGAAGAAGGGTCTCTTTTACTTATGAGGTATCAATTTTATTAGTTTTGGGCTGCATTCTTCCCTCCCCTCCTCTCTCCACCCTTTTCTCCCTCCCTTCCTTTTCTTTCCCTCTCTCCCTTCCTTCCCTCCTCTCCACTCTCATGACCATATTTAGTCTCAATTATCTCTTAAATACCCTATCTCCAAACACAGTTACATTGGGATTAGAACTACAACAAACGAATTTTTCTGGGTGGGGTTGTATAAGCACTTGGTCCTCCCCCAGGCTCTTGTTGCATACACAGCATTCATCTCTCCAATACCCCCCAAATCTTGACTCAATCCAGTATCATTTACAATATTTTATATCCATATTATCCTCTAAATATTATTTAAATTAGATATAAGTCATACCAACAATTCATCTTGAAGCAGTTGTCTCTCCAGCTGTGATTTTGTCAAATCATACACCACCAGGGCTCCAGGCAGCAACAGCCTGGCCTGTGGAAACCACAGTGGGTCTCCCCCTTTGAGTCCTAGTTAGAGGTTGTCTTGTCCCCAGTCCTGTGCATCTGATGGAGTGGTGGCCTGTGGTGGGAGTGGCAGCCTTGATTTTCTAATTTAATGGAAATTCTCTTAGTTAATTCCCTTAAAATTTTCCACTATATTTTCATTAGTGGTTGCTCTAGGATTTACTATGTAAGAAACTATTTCAGATTTATATTAATTTAATTTCTGTAAGATATGAAAAATCTATTTTTTAATTAATTAATTTTAATTAGGTATATATGAAAGCAGAATGCATTTTGATTCATTGTACAAAATTGTGATACAACTTTTCTTTTCTGTGGTTGTACACAACAGCACTGAACCATCTGTGCAATCATACAT